ATTTACAATCAATAAATCACAACGACATTTTCATCGATAAAGTAACGTGCACGATATTAGATATCTCATACTCTTTCTAACTCTTACAGGTTTGGGGTCAACGTATAGTTCCGAAGTTGTTCAACTCGAACGTAAACCGCTTACGGTATGTGGATGCAGTTAAACGAGTTATTGGTTGTTCAGATATACGTGTAATTTAAACGATGCGGCAGAAAAGAAAATTACTACGCAGCCCCCACGGCTTGATTCGCGTAACGAAGTCGATGTTCGAAACGCGTCGCCGCAAAAATGTCAACGCGACGAGCACTGTATCATTACGTTAAGTATGTTTACAGATTCACGCTTTAACGGACGGTATAATTTATGCCTTGTACTTCATATCCTCGTTGATAAACCAACGATGCGCATGCGCTTTTAAAAATTCATTACATTATTCTTTGATATTTGTTCGATCGATTCAATGTGCTTCGAGAATAAAAAGGCGAAAAAAAAAAAAAAATAAGAATCATGGCTCAAAAACAGAATATTCTGATTTTTAATTACTTTTAATTTTAAAAGGAATTTAATTATTTTCAATAAGTTTAAAAGATATAATACGTGTTTATCAAGAATTTTATACTTATGAAATTATCGAATATTATATATATTACGATAAAATATATAATATTGCATATTAATAGTCAAGAGAATAAAATTTATTTCTTATTCTTGTGTTTTTTGAAAAAACTTCTTTTTTGCAACGAATAATAATAGAAAATTTTGCGATTAATACGATTGAATATGATGTGCATATGACATATAAGCTATGCGCATGCGTGACAAATTGTAACGGTTTCACACATTCAGAATTAATTCTTTTTTAATTAAAGAAAAGCTATTCTTTCCTATCAATAAATTTAATAAACTTCAATTGAAGCTAATTTTATGAAATTAATTAATATTTCTTTTTTTCTGATTTTTTTTTATCATTTCTTCATTAAATTGATTACTGGAATCTAAATTCGATACGTTACAGTAATTCGATCGTTATCAAAGGTAAGTATTACGCTACGTAATCTAGAAGCAACTGTAATTAATCCCAGACTATATAACCGCATTTCCTCGCTCGAAACATTTTTGTTCAAATTATTCAACCTCGTATATGTGTTTTGCAATAGAACGAATTGCAATAAATCCGAACAAAAACTCTTTTGTTAATTATTTATATGTGTATACTATTAAACAATTTATTGAAAAAGATAATATTCAAAATAATCGAGAAAAAATTATATAATATTTATGATAAAATCGAATCTTCGGTTCAATGAAATAGCAACATGTGACATGTGTTCATGGTTCCGTCATACAATAGCTTTGCACGTTAAATTAAAATACACATCCATTAACTTGTTCTGACATCTGGGTTAGAATTAGATATTTAAGAAATAACGTTTAAGAAATAATTATATTATTTATTTGATTGTTACTATCTATGAATTGTTTTCTTTTATTATTTTTCTCAAAATATTTAATTTATAACGAATAGTAATACACGAATAAAAAATTAATATTAGTACTTATCAAAATATAAACGAGATGAAGAAGGTAATAATAAATACATTATGCAGCATTAATCAATGAAACAATTAAGAAGAGTTCGATTCCCGCTTTTTTCACGTAATTCTTTCATTACGTAAATGTAACAGATTATTGTTTGAGAATCACGACTAAATTTGGTATTTTCGAGCATTTCCTAACCTTTAAAGGAAAAAAATTGCACGTATATAAAATTACCACACAAGCAAAAACATCCTATATAACAATGGAAACATTTCTATATAATAATATCCAATATTGACAAGAAATTTTGAATTTTTTTGTTTCCATGATTGAACAAAAAAGTATGCAATATGAAGAAAGAACGAATTGAAATTAAAAGACTGAAATGGCGACTTACCGGCGGCGCGATGAGGCCTTCTAGCCCAGTCCTCCTCGATTAAGGGAGCAACTCTGCGTGTACGAACAGTCAAAGGACAAGAAATTACGATAAGTAAAATCGATAATAGACTACTGTGGAAATGCATCTTCGGTACTTTTAAAAAAAGTCTCGTGGTATCTTTCTCTTTCTATCTTTCTTTCTTCCTATCTCTTTCTTTCTTATTTTTTCTGTCACACTCGCGCTCGCGTACGTCCAATTCGCTGTCTCGTCGCTGGCACTCGTACACGGGTGCTTCAACGCATATAGCGCGTTTTTTCTGCGCCTTCTCTCTTTCACTTATACGTTTTTCTCTCTCTTATTTTCTATTTCTACCTCTTTTTCACTCTGTCTATTCCTTACACTATCTGTCTCATTCTATACTCCTCTAAACACGTATGCCCTTTTTCTGTCTAGTCTTTAGAGCCGCAACACTGATCTATTAACGAACATTCACTGCACAAAACTTTCTGCACTCTTTAGACGACACTGCCTGTTGTCTCACACCATCTCTGATTCTTTTTCTGACCCTGTATCGCGCGACGATACACCGATGATATAAAGAATCGTTCGCGAATAATAACAATAATATACTATGTAACGACACAATGACGGATATCGCGGCAACGTTTATGATCACGAAAAAGTCGGTGACAACGCAAGTACGACGATAGTATGCGTACACAGGTCGCGAACGTGTGCGATAATGATTAGAAACAATCAGCAGCGGACCCAGAGAGGCCGTGTGTTAGCCGCAATATTTACTGCAGATAACGCGACGAGGTATCGTGCACCTTTCGAGACACGTTGAACGAGCGCATCCGACGGCTTAATAGGCTAAGGTATACACGCAGGTTCGTTATTCTTTTTCTTTCTCTTTCTTTCTTTTAACCAGTTCCACACATGCGGAGAGATCTATCTATTTATCCTCTTTTTTCTTTCTTTCTATATATAGTCTCTCTCTTTCACTCTCTCTTTCTTTGTCTGCTTGCTTTTTTTTTTTTTGCACTATCGTTATTTATTTCTCTTTTTTACCGAGAGAGCACAGAGAGTTTGTACAACTAACTCTCTGCCTGTTCCCCGCCGCTCTTCTTTCTCGTTCTCGTCGTCGTCGCGCGTTCCGTGTTACTGCGCGCGCGTTTTATAAGGCGGTACACAACGAGCGACGAGTTTCAAGACGAGAGGGACACGAAACAGGGAGGTAAGCAAGCCGTACAGTGCTTGGCACTTCTCTCTCTCTTCTTTTCTCTGTCACGGTTTTAACCGGCGCACAATTCCACGCACCTCCGCACCTCACTAACTCTCTTAACCTACGAGCCCTGTATACGTGTCGTGTTCCTCACGATGCAACAACGCCGGTATGCGCATCTGATATGGCTACGATTATTCCGGGACTTTATGGCAACAAAAACGATTTAGAAATGAATAAACGTAATTACCGATAAAGATTAACGAGTGGCGACCATTTTCGATCGTCTCTGACACGGATGAGACTCACTTTGAAAACACACGCTTGCGCTTTTCGCGTTCGACTCGCCGGTTCGTTGCAATTGAATGTGATCGTCAACGCCAAATCTTGACCAAGTTTGTGAAGTGTTGCATTGCGCTTGCGCAGTAGCGATATTTCGTGTCCGTATATATATCGATTGTAAAAAATCCGACTATAATTACACGATTTTCAATTAATGACGTTGACACTAAATCTTTTTTTCACCCATTTATATTTCGCTGCTCACCGGCCTCTTTACACGCGAACCAACAGACCAGCGTGCGTCTGACACGGTCGGCGCGTGACTGCCGTGACTGACTAACCGATCGTGAGTGACTGACTGGTGGGAAGCTGTTACTTGACTTGCTCTCTACGTCCGTGCCGCCACTGAATCCGATGTATCTGATCATCGGCACCACCGTCTCTCTCCTTCGGCTGCCTCGCTCGAAAAAGCTTTTGCTTTCGCGCTTGCGCCACAACGAATTGCTTTTTCGTTTTCGTATACGCGTGTGCAAGAGCGTCGTTGGTCAGTACGTGTACAACTTCACGTATTTATACGTGTTCTGTTACGTGCGCACGCTCCGTGTGTTAAGTTACTCAATACATATGAAAGATGAGACAGGACACGGCTTTGCCCGCGGAAGCGTCGCTCTGTCTGGCGCTTGCACTCAGTATTACTAGTTTATCTTTTCTTCTCTTATAATAGTTTTTAACCACGTGTTGTATACCGTAATCACCTGGTAGATGCCAAAAGTTGATAAAAGATTTAATAAATAATTTCAATTTGCGTGAAATGAATAAACGTGGTTATAGCGCATAAAATTCGGCAATAATCGTTTGAGATATCACGTTATCTATGAGCAAACGAAAATGCCAATCTTATCGATTTCTTTTTTTTTCTTTCGTTTTCGAAATCAATCGATCACGAGATCATAGTACAATATTTCGAATAACCGGCTCGCACCGTGTCTTTATTCACTATTTTCCTTCCGATGCTATCTGTGTCGTGAATTCAAGGAACGCGTAAGTACATTTCATATCCTTTAGAGTGCGCTGAATGGCTTCAAGGGTTCACGTGCGTGGGAGATGTCGTGACGGTAAAGGAATTCTTGTTGTTTTTGTGTTGAAAAAATTATTATTCCGATATATCTCGATTATTCGGACGAAACACGACTAGAGCACAGACACGATGCGCCGATGTAGCCAACGATGACAACTGTCCGCCGGCCGGTCGAGTCCGTCGCTTTTATGGGGATAGACGACCACGCTGCCGCACCGGAACCCGTGTTCTGTGTATGCGTGCAACTTTACGTGCTCGATATACTATATATCGTACAAATGCGCGCGCGTGCATTACACACTTCCTTACATGCATATCACTATATACACGGTTTAGAATAAAAGATACAGCGTTTGTACGTACAGCTAACTTCTTTTCTCCAGAATCTCGCCAGTCAAAAAATGTATATATATATATATATATGTACAATAATATAGTACAATAATGCATATATATATATATATATACATATACACATACACACTATATCTACGTATATATACATATATATGCAAAGAAACAGTAGAGAGGGAGAAGAACAGGGGTTAACGTAAAGAACTCGTGTCGTCCGTTCGTGATACCTCGATCGCGGTGGGTGTCGCGAATGACTGTGTTCAAGAAGTGTGCGAGAGTCACTACGCGTTGGGTGCCCTACCACATGCCACTACCACTATCATGATTTCCACTACCATCGCATTCGGCTGCCAGCACTACCACTATGGAACCAGTACGCACCACTAAACACGGCGAATATATATCGGTATCAGTGAGTGGTAAGAACGAAATGTAA